CACACACACACACACACACACACACCTGTGAAACGGGCTGTGCACCTGGGCACTGAGTGAGGTTGTAGCTCAAAGGATGCCAATGTCCAAAAATAGCCACATGGCATCCAGACCTGTCCAGCCAAACCTACCCTCCTCCTTCCCTCCTTCCTGCCATTCTTCCCTCTTTCTCCCTCCCTGCCTCTCACAATTCCATGTGTACACACCACACACACACACACACACATCACACAACACTACATTCGTATTTTAGAAGTGATTATATTTCCAAAGACAACAGCATTAGTACAATCAAAACCCTTAAACATTTTTGATCCTAATGAAAGTACCATATTGATACTGATATATTATTTCTTAGTATTTCAAATGCTCTCAATGTTGCCTTCACTGTTGGAATAAAATTTTACTTTTTTATTGGACTGTGGGTAATCTAGTTTTCTTGCACTTAAGGTTGTTATTTTGTGTGAAATAGACACATCTTAAATATTAAAATTATGATCAATATTTGAGAGATGTCATATAATAAACAGTATTATAAACTGTGGCTTACTGGAAAATGACAGATTAGTGGTTTCTAGAAGTAAATTTTAAAATATATTGTGTAATAACTTGTCCAGCCAAACCTACCCTCCTCCTTCCCTCCTTCCTGCCATTCTTCCCTCTTTCTCCCTCCCTGCCTCTCACAATTCTATGTGTACACACACACACACACACACACACACACCCCTGTGAAACAGCTCCCCATCAGAATGCTGAACAATCTACCACCATTGTCTACCAACAGTCTCCTCGTGCCCCTCAGTGATTCCTCCCACTTCCCCTCACCCACCCCAGCTTCTGATCTACTTTCTGTCATTACAGATCAATTGCATTTTCTAGAGTTTTTGATAAATGGAATCTTATACTGTGAAACCTTATTTTTGGCTGCATTCTCTCCCTCAGCATAATTATTCAAAGATTCACCCATGTTGTTGCATGATATAAATAGTTCATTCCTTTTTACATTCCATTCCTTTGTATGACTATACCACCGATCATTTAGCCATTCACCTGTTAATGGACATTTAAGTTGTATGCACCTCAGGCTATTATGAATAAAGCTGCTATAAATACTCATATATATGTCTTAGTATGGACATATGCTCTTATTTCTCTGATCAGGCCCAGGAGTGGAATGATTAGATCACATGGTAGATGTGTTATATATATAATTATGGTAATTACGTTATATAATATAATTATATATAATTTGCATATATAAAATTGTGATAAGAACACATAACATAAATGTACCATCTCAACCACTTGTAAGTGGACAGCTCAGTCGTGCTAAGCATGTTGACTTTGTTGTGCAGCTAACCTCCAGAAATTTTTTTTTTTTCTGTTCAGCCATTTCATATAGGAGGAGGACACAAATAAATCCTCCCTCTTCAGATCATGGCAATCTTAATCTATCCCATAAGCATAGCCACTAAAATCTCCAGAAATTTTTATCTTGCAAAACTGAAACTATACCCACTGGCCCCAAACTCCCCATTTCTCTCTCCCCCAGGCCCTGGCAACCACCGCTCCTCTT